GCATTCATATCCTGAGGTACCACTGTACCGAATTACTTAACTTGAAATTTTTTATCAAATAAATACTTAATGTTCAAAAAACTTTTCTAGAGAACAGTTAAAAAACAAAATTCTTCTTTTGTAATTTTCTGAATTAATGTTTAAAAACATTTACAAATTCAAGGAAGAATAGTTTAGTGATATTAAATGAAAATTAGATAAAAGTGTTAATCTATATTAGTATTATATTGTGCAAAAACATGTATATTTTTCATCTTACATGGAGGACACATTAACATTGACTTGAATCTTTATGAAAACCTGAGAGCATTAGAAAAAGTTAATTTAAAAATGCTTTTTTTTATATAAAAAAGAAACTCTTGTTTGAAAAAATAATTTTTTCTAAAAACTGATTTAAATCTTTATTATTATTATTTGAACTATATAAGAAAGCATATACAGTAAAACCCTGTTTAATGCTGATTTGATATAGAGTGGTTTGCTCCAAGCCTAAAAAAAACGCTCAAAATTTACACTGATTCAAATTATCGTGATATTTCATTGACTTGTATATAATATGATTATTCACAAATACAAACCAATCAGCAAAAGGTGGCAATTCGTCATAGTGTTGTACATCCCATAAATCTATGTTTGTTTTGTGCAATTTTTGAAAAAAATATAATATTATGGATGCCATAGGAAATGTTGACTTTGCTTGGAAAGAAATAACTGATGCATGAATGAAGTGTGAAAGAAGTTATGATTGAAGATATCCAAGAATTCTCAACGAGAAGAGCCTATCGCTATATTGTTAAGATGACCAAACTCAATCTAATCGATATAGCAAGACTAAGGGATATAGACAAGCAGGATATTGAGGAGTTACAGCAGGTTTCTGGTGCGAGCCTTTCCAACGACGATCTTCAAGAACTGGCAAAACATGGAATTCCTGTGGAACTGGAAAATGGAGATTCTGAAAATGAAGAACCCAAAAAATTTCTCTACAGATTTCCTTTGTAAAAGTTTGGTAATAACAACTGAAATCATTCATCAAATTGTAGCAAATGATCCAGATTTTGAAAAGAGTGCAAAAGCAAAACAAAGTGTTTTGGATACAATCTTCTGTTACCAACATTTGCTTAAGGAAAGAAAAAAAAAGCAACAAATGAAACTACACAACTTTATTGCGAAAAACAAGAATTTTAGAAAAGCCAGGACCTTCATCAAAAAAATAAACTTTACATTTTTGTGTGCATGTTTATGTTATTTAACTAATTTTTATATTAATTTGCATAATAATATAACAAAGTAAAATCTGTTTATTTTCGGTTGTGTGTCCCCCTTTCCCTATTTACTCTATGTTAAAATGACCTCATTTAACGCTGTTTCATTTAGCGCTTTGTCATCTAGGAATGCATCCCCATGTTAAGTGGGATCTTACTGTATATTTATATATAACATAACACTAAAAAATTCCGAACTACTGGAAGAAAAAAAAATCAGCCCAGAGCAGGACTCGAACCCACAACTCCTGCTTACCATGCAGATGCATTGCCAGTTACACTATCCAGACCTCCAGTTTCATCTCCTCTTCCAGTATATATAAGCTTATGTTATAACTATCGACAGTCATTACAACACCAATGGTTATAATGTGGGTTGGGGATGCATTCAGTGCCCACATCCTGTAAACATCTTCCAAGGCACTCAACCGGCGTTGTAATGACCATCGATGGTTATAATGTAAGCTTATAGTTTTTAATTACCATAATACATAAATATATCACTATTTAATTATTTTGTATTATGAAACATAGGTATTTTTATAATAATTAAATAAAATATAATAATAAATTTAATATTTTTGTACTTAAGTATATGTACTGTACATCTTGACAATGTATTATATATCAAACAGAATGTTTAAAGTTTATGATGATTGTGAAACATCAATTAAAACATTAGAATTGTTGTTAAACTATTAAATTCTATTTATAGATTTTAAACATTTATTCAAATGTTTGTACCAAAATTTCTAGTATGAAAACTTTTTATCTGTTTATTTTGTCAAAGATCTACAGAACTGAAGGAGAAAGCCTATCCATTTCATACATGACATCACTCATCAGATGGCACTGTGTTGCCTGTGCAATGACCTGTTTATTTACATCATATTTCAGACTTATTCATTCTCAACAGCAGTTAATTTGTATAAATTGCTTCCCTCTGGCAAATATGGACATATTTAAGAGAGTAAAACAAAAATGTTACATGATTTACGTGATATTAATAAAATGTCACTTTTTATTAGTTTTTAATTACCATAATACATAAATATATCACTATTTAATTATTTTGTATTATGAAACATAGGTATTTTTATAATAATTAAATAAAATATAATAATAAATTTAATATTTTTGTACTTAAGTATATGTACTGTACATCTTGACAATGTATTATATATCAAACAGAATGTTTAAAGTTTATGATGATTGTGAAACATCAATTAAAACATTAGAATTGTTGTTAAACTATTAAATTCTATTTATAGATTTTAAACATTTATTCAAATGTTTGTACCAAAATTTCTAGTATGAAAACTTTTTATCTGTTTATTTTGTCAAAGATCTACAGAACTGAAGGAGAAAGCCTATCCATTTCATACATGACATCACTCATCAGATGGCACTGTGTTGCCTGTGCAATGACCTGTTTATTTACATCATATTTCAGACTTATTCATTCTCAACAGCAGTTAATTTGTATAAATTGCTTCCCTCTGGCAAATATGGACATATTTAAGAGAGTAAAACAAAAATGTTACATGATTTACGTGATATTAATAAAATGTCACTTTTTATTAATAACTTAGCATTTGTAGATATGAAAAGAATTCTAGGTATTATATTCAGAGATTTTACAGCAAAAATTTTTGTTTTCTATATTCATGAGTAGAAAAACATTTACAGCTGCATTCTTATAATTAAATTTTCAGTAAAACCATTAAAGAGATTTTTGCATATATATTAGAATTAGAAACTTCATAAATTACAATAAAAAGCTCAAGTTAATTGTAAGAACTATACAGATGCAAAATCTATCAACTTTCTTTCAATGCAATATCTATCTATATTTTATACTAATAAATTAATATATTATCTTAACATTCCTTTCCATACCAGTTTGCCTAGAACATTATCTTGGAAAGTACAGAAAATGAACAGAAACAAGTAAACAAGCATACAAGCATACAAGCACACATGTACTACTCCCCATAACAGTGATGGGTAACAGTTGTAATGTAATCAATTGATAGCTATATCGAATGGGGACAAAAAGCATTCAATATTCTATCAAATATTTAATGAATTATTCACAATACTATTGAATATTTTAAAACAAAAATATAACAAAACATACACTTTATTGCACTTTTAATATACTATTTACTAAAGTCATATTGAACTGATTTTTTTCCTATCTTTGCATGTAAAGTCACTACACAAAATGAGTCTCTCTACTCTTTTTGGCTGCAAGCGACTTTTTTAATTGTATTTGAAACTTCGGAGAAAAGCCCTCTTGCTGGGTACCAGTGTTCTAACCAAACATAAGTACTTCACCATGAATTTATATAACTCCAGACTAATGAATTCATATTTCTCCCAAAAATCTTAATAGATAGTCTTTTCTCTTTTTTTGATCAGTGAATGCAAACACTGCCAAAGAGATGAGTTACGTCCTCCTTTCCTACTAGAACTGTGCCTCAGGTGCACTTAATGATCCTAGTTGATAGTCTACACAAACAGTATCAATAGTATCATTCTATTAAATTATTTGATATTTCATAGTTCACCAAAGATATTCAACAGTATTGTAATTATTACAATACTATCATCTATCATTAATCTATATAATTTAATAATTTAGTATCTCCACATATAAGCATAGGTTCCACATAAATGTCATACTCACTGTGAATTTACAATAATTTTAAGCTGAAGACATTATCATTTACTAAAGAATCAATTATAAACTTTTTGCATACAAATATATATTCTGTACTTTTATACAGAATTCAAGTTGTCGTCATTTAATGCAGTGCCCATTACAAAAGAAGCAAGCGAAAACTAAGCTTGACCCATTTGCCAATCTAATTTTCATCCATTATGGAAATTCCAGATTAATATGTTTAGCCAGCTTGGATAAGGGACAGAAAGAACATCCACTCAAATTATCCATGATAAAGTATGAGGATCTAGACTGGATTTAAATATGGATCCCATAGTTAAGCCCATGCCTTATTGTATGACATACAACTTCAATTCAAATTGCTAAAACAAATGAATTTGTAACAACTATTATAATATATATACACACACAAATTAAAACATCAAGCAATGAAATCAACCAAAACATAAATAATTTTCTTTAAACAAGAAATAATTAATTTATTAAGTGAAATTCCAACTTATATTTATATATAACATAACACTAAAATCATCCACAATCCCTCTCAATACAAACCAACCAATAGGAATAAAGTAGATATCTAGAAACACAGAAAATTATTTTAAATGTTTATGATGAACGATCTTTAAATATTAATTAACGTGATTGGTTGAAAATAATTTTAAAAAATATTTAATTAATTATTTAGATTTAATTTTATTATTATTATTATTTTTTAAATTAATATATTTACCTTGATGGACGGCGACGTTACATCCTTGCCCATCACAATAAACTAATGGATTTTCTGCCCAACCACGTTCATCTGAACATACACAACATCCACCAACCATTTCCTTCATACTGGTTCGCTCCTGCGTTTGCAATTGGCGACGGATTGTCATTCAGTAAAAATATTTAAACTTTTTTAAAGTATCAATACATATTTCTTCGACATTCTTCGTTTACTCCCGATCGAGACAAAACCTATTATAATACGCATGCTCGGTAATAGTACAGCCTTTCCACTTCCGTATTTGTGTCGTCACATCCGGTGATTTTTCAAAATGGCGCCGTACATGAAGTTTATGTGGTTGATTTTATTGATGTTTTTTCGTGTTATTTTTTGTTGGAATTCCGAAGATTTTGAGTTATTTGATTTAGTTGAAGAAGTTAATACTAATTTTTACGAATTGCTTAAATTAGATCAGGTTTGTAGTTATAATATATGAGTCATTTAACGTAATTAATACGTTATGTTAACAAATCTTTGTTTATATTTTGAATTATCAGTTTTAATGTTATGTAAATGCATAAGATTTGCATTTTTATGCATTGAAAATGTAAGCCTTTAATTAAATTATTATAATTTATAATACTTCTTAATACGATATTTCGTAGTGGTCTTGACAGATTATGATTCTGTAAAATGTAAAATAAACAGAATAAAATAAAACTTTTTTAATATTAAATATATATATATAATTAAAAATATAAAGCAATCATAATGAGAAATATCAAATTCATACTAAATTATTACATGGTATGAGCATATTTCCTTATGTACCTTGGCATATCAAGATCTACAACTAATAGAAATTTCAAAGCTGTTAGTATATCGTGCAAAAATTAATTGTAGAATATGCAAAGTTTGGATTCATTTATAATTGATTTATCTTATATTAATTAGAGAAGAAAGAGAAAGAGGGAAAAGCACTACTTTAAATAATCATACATAATTCAGTATTATGTTACAATTTATCGGTGAAAGTTCTTATATCATATTTTCTTCATATATAATATATATAAATAATGCATACATCTGCCAATAATAATTGATTACAACAAATAAACTATAAAAAAAAGTTTTCCAAATATTCTACCTTTAATGTCTGCATATTTATGAAGGAGAAATTATATCAATCAAACCAAATTATCTTCTATTCTGTAGTATACAACAATGCAAGTTAAATGCCATACTAGCTGTATGTGCCAGGCATTGTTTGGGCTTTTGAGTGGTGAAGATTGGTGATGTTGAATTGGAAGAGAGTGATAAAAACAATGTCTTAGTAACTAAAATGTATATTTATTAACCTAAGTATTTACAATAATGAAACTGCAAGACAAAAAATTGCTTGGACTAAAATTAACAGGTGGGTCCCCAACATGTTTGTCCCACAGAATTAACATTGCACTGAACATTTGCCACTCTGCCATGCCTGAACTATTACACCTTTCTCAAATTTCTCTTCAGCAGCATCATCTACAGGGTAAGAGCTTTAATTTCATATATGAACCATACTTTTAGCCCCAGCCATTTATCACATTTAAGTAAGTTGGACAAACTGAAACACTCAATTAATATATAGGTAACATACAGCACTAATGTGTTGTACTGTACATACATTATATGGCATTGCATCTGGTGTTTCTGTATTAAATATGGAAGTGAACTGTCAAATTTATTAAGTCGTTAAATCATTTTGAATTACATTATTAAATTGAATTAATTTAATAAATAAGATCTAACTGGAGAATAATAAACAGAAATAAATAGATTACCTTGTAACTCCAGCAGTAGATTTAAGAAATCATAATGTTTTTGACCTAATATGATAGGCCTTCTTAAATGGTGTAATATGAATTACACCATTTAAAAAAAAAAAAAAAAAAAAAACATAAGAATATTGAATTCAATAGAAATATTGGGTTGTTCAGAAAGTAATTTCGTTTTTTTTTCCATGGAAAAAAAAACAATATTTTCATAATAAATAAATATATCGATTATTTTGGTCAAATACCTGTTGTCATCGTTTCTGGTAGTAGCATGATTTCACATTCATAAAAGTTTTGATCATTGCTTACAAAAAACTCATCCAAGTGATTTTTGACATTGTCATTTCAAGTAAATGTCTTACAGAAAAAAAATTTGTATAGACCGGAACAAGTAATAATCTGAGTGTGCTCGATCTGGCGAATATGGTTGGTGTGATAGCACGTCCCATTTAAGTTATAACAGTTTCTGACGAGTTACCAAACTTGTGTGAAATTTGACATTATCGTGGTTTTGTTATACCTGTTTTGTTGATCAATTCTGGCCACCTTTTCTGTTTGATGATATTACTCAGTTTGTTTACTTGATGGCAGTACACTTTCGAATCAATTGTTAAATTGTCCAGTAAAAGCTCCAAAAAAAAAAATTTTCTTAAAATCCACCCAAAGAGAGCATCTCTCTTTAAGAACATGTGGAACCCATATATTGAGCTTTGAAACAAAGCCAATTTGTTTCAAGTAATCATAAACAGTTCAATTTGACAAATTTAATCTCTTAGTGATTTCACATGTTGTTATTCGGCAGTTTGCTTCAATCAGTACCTTTATTTTGTTTTCATTGGCTTCAACTGGCCATCCAGAAAGTGATGCATCTTCAATATTGAAATTGCCAGAACGAAGTTTTGTAAACCAGTTTCGGCACTGTTGTTCTGTCAATACATTTTCTCCATACACTGCTTGAACAGCATTCTTACCTTTTTGGTGATAAAAGAGCAAAATATGCCAAAAATGCTGCTTTCGATCTTCCATATTTGATAGGACACAAAAAATAAACAATCGCACAAAATCAAACAAAATTTTTTACAAATAAGCCTTAAAATGCTAGCTGTCAAAATATATAGTGATAATACAGTTTAGAATGAAAATGGTGGGAAAAATATGACTAATCCGACTAGTGGTAAAAAAAAACGAAATTACTTTCTGAAGAACTCAATAATTTAAAAATTAAGGTGTTCTAAAGAGAACACAGTTATAGAGTGGAAAAAATTAACAATTAATAATTACAACTAAATATAAAAATAATAATGAAGTTAAATATAAACAAAAATAATTAGAGGACAAAGTCCAGGTTATATTTCATATAAGAACGTCCATGCTGTAGGTAAGGTGTCTGCATTCATATGGTTGATACAAAGTAGTTTTTGGTTGGCTTTAAAAATTTCCAACATTTCTAAGAACCTAATAGTGTTAGAGTTTGTAGGTGGTCTAATGATTCTTGTCCTATTCCATTTTATTTGTATACATATCTTGTTTGGCAACATAAGCCACTAAGGTGTTGGAATTGAGATGCTTTTCTACTGTGTATTATGCAACTTAATTCTTTTTGCCAAGGTATGTCTGGTAGCTCCCACATATGTTGGATTTGTGTCAAAACACTGATCCTCAATTGGAATTGTGTAAACAGTGGAGGATTTATTAAGGATGATAGGGTCCTTGTCATTATGTAAGATTCCAAAGGCCATCGGATTACAGTTATGTACAATGTTTAATTGCTCATATCAGCTAGTTCTTTATGTATTCGTCTAAATGTGGGAAAATAAGGCAATGCAATTCTCCTCTTAGATATCAGTTGGGAAGATATAGCTCTTGTGTTTTTAAAGGTGCTAATTAATTTATGAATCAAAGTTGTAGGAAATCCATGTTGTTCAGCAATTCTTTCAATATAATCCAGTTCAAGGTAAGTGTCAATTATATTAGAGCAATGGAGTAGGCCCATTGTATTAAGCACCTGGGAGCTTTACGGATGAGTGGATTGCAGGAATTTGTAAGTATAAAAATTGATTGGTTTGTGCGCTTACAGTAAATATTGGTGTGGATTCCATTGTCTTTACAGATGATAGGTATATCTAAAAAATGGACCAAATTGTCACTTTCTTGCTCACGCTTAGGAGACCATAAGGATTGTTGTTGAGTTTGTTTAGAAACAGATTCAGGTACAGTTTTTTTGCACCACAAAATAAAAATATTATATACATACCTAGCATAAACTACAATTTGATGTAGAAACATTGGTAGAATCTTTTTTTCCAATCAGTGAACGATAAGTTCACAATGATCCTGGAGGTGGGGCTGCTCATGGGAACACCTCTCCCCTGTACATAAATGGTGTTATCAAATGAGAAAAAGGAAGTGTAAAATACCATATGGGCCAGTTCCAAAATATGTTTGCATTATTTGGTGGCATGTTCCTTGTTGGTAAGTAGGAAGTACCTTAGAGTGCAGAAACACAGAGATAGTTTAATAGATAGGTAGAGAGGCTGGAAGTCCATTTCTATTGTGTACTCATCATCCACCAACGCTATGTTTTTAAGACTGTCCAACAACTGTATCAAATTGTTAATGGTGAATGGATAATGTGCTGTTACATTGTTGTAAAATGTGACAATTTGCTTTTTCAAGTAAGAACGTGGAAAAGGAGCATTTTTCAACCACTGGCTGTAATTGGGTTCTGGGCTTACATGTTTTAGTGAAGGTGAAGATGCATGGAACCTGGAGTGCAGAGATGAATGAATTATGCATATAGAGGACCTTTGCTAAAGGAGTGTTGGTGAATCTTTTAACCCTTTGTTGGAAAGAATTCAAGTAATTTGTTGGTACAATTTGACACTCGGTATTTTCAACATACTCTTTCAATTTTTGTTTGCAGGTGGATGGTTGAAAAACTGGAGGAAGTGTCAAAAAAATTAAAATTTACACCTTAAACTCCAGCAATATAAGTTTTTAATAAAAAAACATAGAACCCCAATTATCCAAATGTATTTCTGCATGTTATGTTCTATTAAGTAAAAGTCACATGTTCTTACATTTTTGAAACATGTCCTTATTTGCTTATAAGAGGATGGTCATATGTGGGACCAACTTGTTTTGGTTATAAAGCTGCATGAATGCAAATATAGTGTTATAGTAACTACTCAGTGACATCTCTATGGTAACCATTATAACCAAGTAAAAAAATTATTATGATATTATAAAAGTTGTTTAACTTTTATATCAGAAAAATTTTTTATAGATTAAAGATAGTGAGTTTTTAGGTATTTTGTGAAATATATTGCTGATTTTACTCCATCTATAAGAGCATGCTCTTACATGTCAGAGATAGGGTATAAGATAGGAAGAAAAATCAGCATTATGTATCAGAAGTTAGAATGTGTCATCAGACATGAGACAGCAATAGTGATGCAACATCAATTTGTTTAGAAGACAAAGAATTATGATGAGTTGTGGATAGCTTGACCTCAGTATAGGCTGCTAGACTTTCTTACTTTCCACAATCTCTTTTAATTGAGTAAGACAAAAAAAGGATGGGAATATTGAGGAGAGGAAAGATGATTCTGAGTTGTTAAGATATGATCTGACAAAACTTGAGCTGAAGTAACAC